GCTTAATGTATATTAAGCAGTAAATATTTAATAAAATTTTAGTACGTGGTTACCAAAGGAAAAAAAAAAAAAAAAAAAAATATTAAAATCAGCTAATATTAAAAATTAAAATTGCAATTTGAAAATATATATAATAAAATTCGTATATACACTTTAATATATCAAAATAGATTTAAATTTTAGCATTAGCCAATTTCAGCTTTAGCTATAATATATATGGAATTAAAGTTTAAATATATATCTATACTAATATATATAATTAATTAATTATTTATTTATTTATTATTAGATATTAGATGAATCTCCAAATTTAATTAAATATAAAATTAGAAGAATTTTACAAAGTCGAATATTTTTCCAAAAATGTGAAGAACTAAAAATAGTTTTAGAGCCTATAAAAAAAGCTATCAAATCACTTGAATATTGTACTACTACTCTTGTAGATTGTTTTTTACAACTTTCGATTAGCAATTACGATTAAAGATTTATCTAATTCTGTTAGTCAAGATTTTCAAAATGATTGTTTAGCTCTTTTTAATAAACAATGAAAGCAATTTGATTTTGATATTTATTTAATTGCTTATTTTTTTCACCCCAAATATCGAGGTATTTAATTTTTTATTATAAAATTATAATTTATAAATAATATTTATTAATATTTATTATTTGATTTATAGCAATTGGTATTGAAGAAGAAAATTTACGATTTATTTTTGAAACAGCTATTGAATTTTGGAAAAAATTAGGTGGTGAAAAAGCTTCAACTGAAATTTTAATCGCACAAATGCAATCATATATGCTATTTCAAAAACCATGAGATACAAAATTTGTAGAAACAGTTCATATAGTTAAAACTTGGTGGAATTGTGCTATGGTAAAAAAAAACTTTATTCAAAATTTAGCTTTAAAAATTTTATCTCTTGTTCCCCATAATATAAGCTGTGAAAGAATTTTTTCAGTTTTAGGTTAGTTTTGTAGTAAAAGATAAACAAGGTATGTATAAGTTATATAAATTATAGCATTGCTGCTTACTTTTCTGAAGCCCATCTTCCCAAAATGCTATTTTTTAAATTACATAATACTGATATTACTTTTTCTAACAAGATATATTTTAAACAAATTAGTTTACTGATAGTTTGTTTTGCTGATAATTTATTTTATCAATAGTTTATTTTACTGATAGTTTATTTTACTAATAGTTTATTTTACTAATAGTTTATTTTATAAATAGTCATTTTACTGACAAAATATTTTAGTCATTGTTATTAGAGTTAGGTTTGAATTAGAAAAACTTGTTAGTGAAAAAAACTATTGGTAAAATGACCTTGTTAATTAATTAATTTTTGATCAAATAACATGTAGTAATTCAAGAAAATGGACTTCAGAAAGTCAACTCAAAATTTTAGTACTAATATAATATTAATAAGGAACAGGTATTTTTATATTCAATTTTGATATTTTTACACTCTTACAGATTATAATATGATAATCTATTTTGCTATAATTACAATACACTTTATATAATATATGATATATATATAATCAAAGAGTGTAAAATACCAAAATTGGGTATAAAATATTTGTTCTTTAATTATAATTATGTTTATATATATTTATATATTTATTTATTTAAATATATTTTTTTTTAGATTAAATATTAATAGATTAGAATCTATAGCCAAGTTATATTCATATTATATTACAAATGTTGCTTCTGAGCTTAAATATGCTAATATCAATATTACAAATAATAATAATGAAAATCAAATTGAAAATCTTATACGAATTTTTCGATTTGGTAATCAAGAATTTAATGAATTTGATGAATCTAACGAATTTGAATATGAAGAATCTGATAACTTTGATAAAGATGAAAATTTTGAAAATGAAGAATTAGAATTTGAAGAATTTAAAGAATCTCAAGAAACTGGTATCTTAAACAATGTAGATGATTATTTTAACTTTAATAATGATGAATTTCGGCAAGCATTAAATATGAATATTTCAGTTGTTATTAAACCGTATGAATTAGAAATTAGCAATAATAATACAAAATTTGATACTAATGAGCTTTTAAATACACTTTTAAAAAAATAGCTATATTTATACTATATCAATTTTTTTTGATTTTTATAACATAGAGGTAACCCAGATTTATATAGATACAAATTGTTATACGTATAAATATTATACTTTTATAAATAAATATTTTATATAGCTATTACTATATTTTATAATATTATACTAGTGATATAAACCAATGCCAAACCACTAGGTTGACTAGGTTGCCAAATTACTCGGTCAGTTAACCAGACCAACTATTCTATTAAAAAATTTT